CAGCCCCATAAAAAAATAATTAAGTAGAATATATTCACAACATAAAATTAGTTTTAGTGTTGTAGAGATAAAATTGACATTTTATAAGACAAACAAAGTAAATAGGAGGTATTGGCAGGGATATTACTATGTTGTAAATCATCAGCATCATCCTAGAGGGAACATATGTATAATTAATTTGGAACATTAGTTTACTTAAAGTTAGTATTATGCACCAGACTGCCAATGTTTGTGGAAGAGCTAAACAGTAATTTGAAATTTTTCTGCACTATTGTTTGTGGTTGAGGCCAACTACAGGAGGAATTGATCGGTATAGCCCCAAATATTAATGCTGCATGGATAGCTATGAGGGGTTCTAATAACATACTAAATGTAAAAGAAAGGCTGGAGATAAAAGAGTGGCTTTGTCTGAAATTAAGGGTTTCATAGATGTATATTAGAGTGTAAATTGCAAGATGTGAAGTAACATGATCATGAAATAATTTAGTTGGTCGAATAAATAGATAGGTGAAGATAGATTATGTCTGAGAATTGAAAATCGGTGGGGATTGGATGATGTCAACCCCTAATTTTATTGCAAGAGTAATGGCAAAGGGTTTTTCGATCATACTCCCATTCTTATTTAACTGGATGGGGGCATAATCACACAATCGAAGCCATTTAAATTCTTTAATATGTAGGTCAGACTAGGAATTTCAAACAAGTTTTGCAAGGGAATTGGTCTAGTACAATAAGGGGGACATTGATGTTTTAATTAGTCATGAAACTAAAGAGACTGAAATCAACACTAGCGGATTTAAATCGGACACAGTTCTCAAACATAGAGGAGCAAGCCCATCAGTTATTAATGCAATTAGGTCAAATACATGATTAGATACATGGCTATCCTATGGATAAGAATTTGCAACATCAAGAAAGAGAACTTATCATAGATAATTTCAGGCCACTAAAGCAACAAAAAAGCAAAGGAAACTTGGGGTCAAGTTAGGTAACCCAATACGGTATTTCCATGCAAGAATGAGAGCAAGAATTATGCAAAATAGAATTTGTTCTATAATTGAAGAAGGCATGCAGCTTAGAGATTGGGATAAGGTCAAGAAGCATTTTGTTGACTTTTTCTAGGGTCAACTTAGTCAAAATAGTAGCACGCAACATTCTCAACTAGAAGTATTCAGTAAGGGCTCTACTTTGGGATGGCAACAAGAAAGGAGATGAGGAAGGCAATGTGGGTAATCCATACTTGTAAAGGTGCGGGGCCTAATAGATATGGGAGTGGCTTTTACAAGGAAGTTTGGCCAATAATCAAAGAAGATATTGTAAAAGTAATAATGGAGTTTTTCGAGAATGACCAATTGTTGAAGCATGTTAGTTCTAATGTGTTGGCGCTTATCCCAAAAAATGATAATCCACAGAATAGATACGAATGTAGACCCATTACATGTTACAATATGATCTATAAATGCATTTCTAAGATAATATAAGAAAGAATCATGATGTACTCCTGGATCTAGAAGATATGACTCGGAGTGCTTTTGAGAAATAGGCAGATTTTGTATAATGTGCTAATGACTCAGGAGCTTATCAGGTTATATGGAGAAAAATATAAGTGGCGGGTGTCTGATGAAGATTGACCTTAGGAAGGCTTATGAGTCAGTAGAATCGAGGTTCATAGATGAAATGATTCAAGCATATGGCTTTCAAGAATCCTTCTCCCAAATAGTAATGGAATGGGTAATTACAACTTCATTATCTGTAATTATGAATAGTGAAAACTGTGAATATTTCAATGTGATGAGAATCATGTAGTCTTCCATGGTGGTTCTCTTAGTGAAGAGAATGAGCTAGTCCTTCATTCCAGTTTTGGAATGCCAAGTTTACTTTGCAGGCCAATCAAGGAAGAAAGGATGGATCTTGACTACCTATGTGATAGGGAGTTGGTTCAAGAGAGCTATGATCAAGATGATGAGAATGTCATTAACTTTGAGGTTCAAACCAGAGGAGATGATGAACTCATGGAAATAAGTGCTCAAGAGTATCAAGGGAGTTTGACTCTATGTGCTCCATGAAGATCATTGATCAAGCTAGAGAGAAGAATCATTTAGGTTCTTGAATGGACGGCCTATTTGATCAAAGTGTTCAAGATTGAGTCTATTGCTACACAATTAGATAGGTTGCAAACTATCTCAATTGTTTCAAGTGTTTTTCCAATCTTTTGGAGTCAATAAAGAGAATTCTACAAGTTTTGGAGTAAATTGGAGTTTTCTACAACTTGAGGAGGCGCAAGACCAATATTCCACTTTTGGAAGGGCGTTCAAGACATTTTACTTCAATAATTTGGAGCTGATTTTCGAGATTTAGACTTTGTCTAAGTCTAGGAGTTATTTTTGAATTTTTATCTAGTTAAATAAGTCATGTGGACTGAATTAAACTAGAGTATTTTGATTACGAGTCTTAGATTCCTTCTAAATATTATCCTATTTGAGGATAAGTCATTTAGATAAGGTTTCCTAGATTTTAGATAGAGTCAAAGAGATCAAATACTCTTCTACTTCTCATGCGTAAGATAAGATTAGAGAGTCCTAGTTGATCTTCTTTTCTTGGTGCTGGCTGAAAATATTAGCCTATAAATAGGGAGGATGGCCGAAAATCAAAAGCACCCTTGAGTGGTCATTTTTGTTGTATCTTTTGAGAGTTTTTCCGGAATTTTTGTTAAATGGTGTGTCCATTTTTCGTGTCAAGTATGATTTAATCAAGAGGGTTTTCATCTTGTCTTGGATCGTTTGATCTTGCAGAAACCGTTCTTTTTCAAGTATGCTTCTTGATAGAATTGTTTTAAAACTAAACTTCTTATTTTCATACTACTTCTAGTAGTTCGAGAGTTGAGCCTTTCTTTTGGCTATGGTTTTCGAGTTCATGATGTGTGTGTTCATGAGTTCCATTGTGGGGTTTGTCCTACTTTTGTTGGATGAGTTGTGCTTTTGCATAAGCATTTTGAGATAGTGTATGTGTTGCATATCTTTGTTGGTTATGGAGATTACTAATCAATAGTATTCCTTTATAGTTGAGCATTATTTGCTCCTACCTTTCTTGAGTCTCTTGAATGATGACTGATCGAGTATATTGAATAGTGTCCTTACTATTCTTAGTGTGGGTTGTTGTTTAATTCGAATCTTTCATAGATAATGTGTTCTTTGCTTGGTTTGAGTTAAGAGATAAAAATCCTTAGATAAACGATCGTCCTACTTTGACTTTTCCGCACTCTTTTGAGTTCACGGCATAGACAAATTATCTTCGTACTTTCTTGTCTGATGGTTGCATTAATGAAATTTGCTTCATCTACGAGATTGCTATCACAATGGATAGAGGGGATTGAGGTAGGGTGACCAATGTCACCTCTTGTGTTTGAACTGGTTGTGGAGTATTTTAACCAGATTTATGAAGGAGGCTATAGAAGATGAAAAGTTTAGTTCCATCCTCAATGTAGAAACGTGGAACTTACAAATATTTATTTTGGAGATGATTTATGATCTTCTGCAAAGTAGATGTTTATACTATGAAGAAAATTGTGGATGTGCTTGATAGATTCTTAGCTACAACAAGTTTAATTACAAATCCCCTTAATAATGATATATACTTTAGAGCAGTAGCAGATGTTCCAAGAATTCAATTATGCAAAATCACTGGATTTAGAGAAGGCTAGTTCCCCATGAAAAACCTAGCAGTACCTATACATATTTCCCCTAAGAAATATAACTAAATGGATCACAAAATCTTGGTCCAGAAAATTACAGTTAAGATAAGATATTGGAGTACACAACATTTTAGATACCCAAGAAGGGTCTAGTTGGTAAAGTTAGTATTTATTGCTATAAATAATTACTGGGCATCAACATTTGTCCTCCCAAAGACCATCAATCAGGAAATTAATAGAATTTGTAGGAGTTTTATATGGAGAATGACGATGCTTGGATGTGCGCCGCCGGTTTAGTGGTGGAACTCCGGTTAGGTTTTCCTGCAAAACAGGGCCTCGGGGTCTCCCGAGGGTAGACACTCCGATGCTTAAGTCAGTAAAAGGGTTGCTAGAAAGTTTAGAAAGGTAATTTGTTTTGCTATATATTGCGTACCTATATTGTAGTATGAGCTACCCTATTTATAGGTATGGGATTACCTGGGAGTTCCCAAATCCAACTAGGTTTCAGGAACTTACACCGCCCTAAGAGTCCCGGTTGGACTCTTTCTACTATTGGCGGGCCGGTCCAGTCTCGGTGATGGATATGGACTCATTAAGTGCCCCTGCCAAGTGTTAGTGACGTAAAAACAAGCAACGCTTGGCACATAATAAGTATTATTTGGGACATACCCGATAGTGGACAGACTACCCTCGTTCGGCTAATCATCGAGCTACATGCCACACAACCTCGATGCCAACGCACAACCCTCGATCTCGAAGGATCGAGAGTAACTGGCGAGTCAGATCCTGACCCGGGAAGACGACCCGCTTCCCGCCCAGATTTTCAACTGTGCGTTATTAGCGGGCAAGTTCCCCAAACGGCGGCCCCAACATCATTATTTCCTTGAAATCCGTAATAAATGTCATATTGTGGTCCAAAATTAGAGGAACGTGGGAGGATAAATTTCGTTTTTAAAGAGAAAGTTCTACTACCCCCTTTTTGCACTTAATCATTTTTCCTTCTTTGCAAACAACTCGAAATCCTCTCCTCTGCTAAAACACTCCAGCCCCTAAAAGTTTTTCTTTGCCAGAGCATCCTAACCCCTTCTTTCAGCCGGAATTTTTCAAGCTTTCGCCTGAGACACTGCCCCAGCGACGCTGTTTCCAAGGAAGTTGCTAATTGGAGCTTCTGAATAACACTGGGAAGTTATAATTCGAAAGGCGAGTGGTCACGTCCTCCTTCCATAGTAAGTTTCTAGATCTGAATCTCCGATTTGTTCCTAGCTTTTGTCCTTCTCTGTTGTATCCCGAATAGATTCTTGTCGGAATTATGGTTAGGGATTCCGAAGGAAAGACTGTTTTGGACTTTGTATCCACCATAGATTCAGTTGATAAGGTGGAAAACCTTAGATCCAAATATGACCTCCCTTCAGCTCTAAAGGCGAGAGCCCCATTAGGGAACGAGAGAGCTAACTCTCCTCCAAGGGGAAGAATTACCGTGTATGACCGATTCATGCATCTAGGGCTTAGATTTCCTCTCTACCCCCTGTTTGAGGAGATTGTCCAACACTATAGGACTCCTCTCGCTCGTTTTACCCCAAATTTAATTACATTTGTACTGGGGCTTGTGAGAGTATGTCAACATGTAAAAGTAATACCTCGATTGGTATTGTGGAGGTATTTTTTTCAAGTAGTTGTGGCCTCGACCTCGTTCCAGGACTGGTATATCGTAAAAAGGCGCCTTAGAACTGGCGTGAAGAAGATGGTTGAGGCATATGGCGGTTCCCCGGAATGGAAACCGGACTTTTTGTTTGTAAAGGCGCCCTCGAGTTATTGCTTACCATGGAATCTTCGAGAGACAGAAGGTCTCGGGGCTATAAAGGATGAATGGACCCAAGAGGATGAAGAATGCGTCGAGAAGTTCCAGGCAGATGTGGAGAAAATTTTGAAATATTCGAAGGTCGTTAAATGGAACGACGTACAATATTATGTACCTCCTCTATACGTGAAGGAAAGTGATACGGTCAACATTGAGGGGGCAACTAGAATTCCACTCGAAATCTCTGTTGAAGAAGATCAAGGTACTAATAATTTTCTTTTTTCTCTTTTTTGTTGTTAGGTCATGTCGTCGAGCAATGCTGGGTCTCGATTGTTTGGTGATGAAGATCCTTTTGTAATTGTGAATTCAGATGAGGATGTCACCGTTACTGCTGCCCCTCTGAAGAGAAAGAAGAAAAGGATTGTGAAGGTGGGCGATAGGGCGAAATCCAAGAAGGCTAAGATGGATGCGCCCTCGAAGTAAACTACACAACCGGGCATCGAGACGGTGCCCCTTGCCACCGAGTCCGTTCAGAAAACTGCGCCGGAAGCAGGGCCAAGCATAGTTCCTCCCGTGGCGGAGAAAGGGAAGGGCCCTCTCGAGGGGGAGGCCATAGTCTTGCCTCCTCAGCTGTTCGAGGGAGGCCCGTCTGTGGCAGTTCACACCTTCAGCAACTCGCCGTCAATCGAGTGTGCTATTCTCGAGGAATTCGTTGCTCAGCTGAATGAAGTTGATAGCTTGAGACTGGTAAGTAATTTTTCAGATTAGGTTGTAAATGTGCTGCTGATGTCAATGTGTTCCTGATATGCTATATTGGTTCAGATGAGTGCGGCCTCGATGGCCTACCTAGTGCAGTTAAGGAAACTTTGAGAAGACCTGGCTACAGCTCGGGCAGAAAGGGACGAGGCGTTATTCGAGGTGGTTACCCTCGAGGAGAAAAGCTCGCCAAGTTCAGGCCAAGGAGGCTGAAATTGCCGAGGTGCAGGCTAAATATGATGAGCTTGATGAGAAGATGAAGTCATTTGCCAACCTGCATATTTCCAAGGAGGAACTTCATCAGTGGTGTACCACCTTTATGTATAAAATGATGTCTACAGGGGAATGGCCGCAGCCCTCAAGGAGATGAACTTGGTTGCCACCAAGTGTGGTGCGCACCGAGTTGGCTTGGCAGGGTTGTAGAGGCTCTACCAGGATAGGCCAATTAAGGCTAACTGGTTCAAGCAACTCCTGATGAAGGACCCAAAGAAAACCATGCACGAAGCCATGGTGAAGGTCTTGACAAGGTTGAGCCTCGAGCAGCTTCCCCTGTGGGGAGCTTTGACTGGTGCCATGCCGAAAATGAGTTCCCCTGCAGAGATTGCCTCATTTCTGGGCAACATTCCTGCTGTCCTGGCCAAGGGTCCAAGTGAGGAAGATCCTATACCCGAGGTACCTGACGAATACATGGGTATCGAGCTCGAGGACGTCGATGAGGAAACCGAGGAGGAAGTTGTTGATACCGGCCACTCTGAAGTTTAGGGAACCGTCGAGGACGCCTCCCAGGACCCTTCCAAGGACCCCTCCAAGGACCCTTCCAATGACCCCCTTCAAGGCAGTGATGCTGTATGAATCCTGCCCCTTGTAATAGCTTGCTAGACCATTCAAACTATTTCTTTTCTTTGTAATGGACTAATTTCTTTTCACGAATTTATGCAAACAGTTCTTCTATTTCTTTGTCCTCTGTTTTCTTGCTTTTTGGTTTGATTTAAGTGCCTTATACTCCTCTGGTGAAACAGAAAAGTTGGACCGTTCACCGCGTTCACCTCATGGTGTTTTCGGAGGAGCAATCGAGGGAGTTCCCGTTATATGCTATGATTAGCGGGATTCTGAGAAGTCGTGCTGATGTGCATAGCCTCGAGACGGTGGCACACTTGGAGAGTGACCTGCTCGATGCCATGAGGATGCACAATGTAAAGGTTAACCAACATCTGATAAATGAGATTAAAGGACTCCGCGAGGAGATGCAGCGTCGAGAGGTTCGAAGCCTGAAAGACCACAGTGACTCTCTGACTTTCGAGGCCGAGATTCATGATAAGCTGGTGACCTTGGAGAAGGAAAACGCTCAGCTTAGGGCAAGACAGCAGATTACTGTGTCTCCCTGGTTTCTCGAGAAGCACCAAGTGTTAGCCCGAGTCCAGCACATGATTATGGTCAGGACTCGCCGTTTTATTGCAGTCATGGATATACTGAAAGAGAGATCTCGTGAGATCGAGCTTCTTACAAACTATATTGCCCAACTGCAAAATCTACTGCTGGATAACAACATTGACTTAGATGCTTTCGAGCGTCCAAAGGAAACTGTGGATCCTCGAACTCGGAGTTCTCGAGAAGAGCTGTTGATGAGGGTGCACGCTCAGGACACAGAGATGGTGGACCTTAAGAATAAATTGAATCAATGTGTGAATCTCCTTAGCCTGCATGGGTATAAGGGGATTATCCATCCCTCCCCCGACAATCCTGTCAGGGAGGTTCTTATAATAGTGTAGGAGAATGCATGTATTTTCTGTGAGTTCGCACAGTAGTGTGGAACGAATTATCGTTTATTTTACTAGAGTATTGATTTTTAAAGCACTTTTTAGGCCGGATGTAAAGTGCACGACTCTATCATAGGAATTGGGTACGAATTCCTTGACCTGATACTGCGTTTCGCAGTGTGTGTGAGGAAAGTTCCTCGAGTTTGTGTCCGGATGTTGAGTACACGGCTCTTGAACGAGGATGGCCCTAAAGAGGGAGTCCATCTCGATGATTAGTCGTGAATGCATTGCTATAAATTAAAAGAATATGTAATGTCTTTTATTGAATAATTTCCCGAGGACCCGGGTTAGCATTACATATGAGAGTATAAAACCGACTGGTTAAATAAAGCAAATAAAACACATAATGGGCGAATAGCGGACAAAGACTTAAACATAGAACCTGCGAAGATTCTAAATGTTCCACCATCGAGGAAGAATGGTTCCGCTATCATCCATGGCATGTAGGCGGTAGCAGCCTGCTGGGGAAGTCTGGATAACTTTGTAAGGCCCTTCCCAATTTGCAGTGAGTTTTCCAGGGGTTTCTGCTCGACTGGCCTCGTTTTTCCTTAGTACGAGGTCGCCCACAGCGAGGTCCATGGCTTTCACCTTCTTGTTGTAATGTCTGTGAAGAATCTCTTTATACTTGGCTTCTCGGATTTTGACGGCGTCTCGACGTTCCTCAAGCAGGTCAAGGTTTAGCCGGATGTCATTATCATTAGTACTTTCGACCTGTGAAGAATCCGTTGCGGACATCTCGATCATCAATGTTGTCGACCTGTAAGATTTCTTGTATGAACCGTCTGTGAAAGTCGGTTAGACTCTCATGCTGTCCCTGTCTGACTGAGGAAAGGTCGATGGACATCCGCGATATCCGTTTGCTCTGGAAGAATCGAGTAGCTAGTTTGACGGACAAATCTTCAAAACTAGTGATGCTTCCTTCTGGTAATTGCCCAAACCATCGCTGTGCTGACCCGGATAAGTAGGAGGGTAACGCCTTTGCCATGAAAATCATGGTTGCGTTTCGGATCCTTATGACTTGGACATACCCTTGTAGCTATTGGGAGACATCGGTATCTCCTGAATATGGCTTGAATTCTTTAGGGAAGTCGAAGTCTCGGGGCTTAGGTTCGTCTCGAATGATGGGGATGAAGGGGCTCCGGTCTAGCCCTATCCCGATGATCTTTCTCATTTCCTCTCGGATCAAGGTATTCTGGTCTCTTGTCCCTTGCTGATCCCCTTGGAAATATGGAGGATTTTCTCTATGTCGATTATACTGCTGATCTTTTGGAGGCGAATATCGAGGATGGTGACGGTATTCTTGATCGTAGTTGCCCTCGATATTGTTGTGGCGTTGGTGTGGTTCGTAACCATGTCTGTACTCACCTCGTCGTGGGCTTCTCTGATTCCAATTGAGTTCTAAGCGATTATATGCGTTAGTTCGCCTTGTGGGGTTTCCTTGTTCTCCTTCGACGACCTCAACACTCGGGGGGTCATGATTCTCCCGAGTGTCCCTACGTTAGTATATTGCGTCAAATTTCTCGAGAGCGGTATTGAATGCTGGGTATCGTTCTCTGAATGCGTTCCAGAATATGGTATCTCTGGTAGCATACGAGCGTTCCTCGTGGGGGTTTTCGTACCCCTCGATTTCTTGGTAATTTTCCTGCTCTTGGACATTCCGCTTGCCCCGTTTCTTCTCGAGAAGGGCTAGGGTTCTGCGAGCTTCTCTTTCGTCGATCAAATCTTCTAACTCTTGTTCTGTGGGGTCGGGTTGTCCAAGGAGGCAACGCCGCCTAGTTTCTTCGAGAACATATTTCTGCATCCTCTGTTGTTGATCGCCGTCATCGCCTAGCTTCTTGAGTTTGGCCTCGATCCTAGCTAATTTCTGATCCTCCAAACGCTTGGTGGCAGCAGGGGTATTCCGAGGAGGAGGTATATCCTCTTTTTCAGGTGGAAGATTGGTTTTGTTTTATTTTTCCGGATCGGGGTGAGAAGTACCAAGAACCAAACGCTCTTTTGTTGGTTCTTTCTCTGGTTCTCCAACGTGGCTCTTTCCTGTCTTCCTCTTTCTTTGCCGGCGTTGGAACTCGACTAGAGGAGTGTCGTCTCCTAGGCTATGCTGGTGGCCGGACGATGTTGTGCTGCCGGCGTCTTCTTCAACTCTGACCATCATATTGATTATTTCGGCAACCCTAGTTTGTATGGAAAGGTGTTAAGGAAATTTGAGAAGATTTCTGTGACACAAACCCTAATTTTCATGCCCCACTGGGCATGTCACTTGACGATACTTGGATGTGCACCACCGGTTTAGTGGTGGAACTCCGGTTAGGGTTTCCTGCAAAACAGGGTCTCGGGGTCTCCCGAGGGTAGATACTCCGATGCTTAAGTCAGTAAAAGGGTTGCTAGAAAGTTTAGGAAGGTAGTTTGTTTCGCTTTATATTGCGTACCTGTATTGTGGTATGAGCTACCCTATTTATAGGTATGAGATTACCTGGGAAATTCCCGAATCCAACTAGGTTTCAGGAACTTACACCGCCCTAAGAGTCCTGATTGGACTCTTTCTACCGTTGGCGGGCCGGTCTAGCCTCGGTGATGGATATGGACTCATCAGAGAATTATGGAATCTGGTAGAAGTTTGACTTTGGTTAGTAGTGAATAGGTATGCAGACCAAAGAAATAGAGAGGAATAAACATTAGAAATGCTAAACTTTCGAATGAGTCTACTTGACTCATGCAAGTGTAGAATCTGCCCTGCATGGATAACAATTTATGGATAAAATGAATTATTGCAGTATATATGAAAAAAAAAATCGAGAATATACTAACTCAGTAGGACACCAATTGGCATTAGAAGTAGATTCTAAAACTGAAAAAAACAGGTGAATGATAACTTTGTGGGAACAAAATGGAAACATACACCCTCAGGTAAGTAAACTAACCTATGGGTATAAGTGACTAGTAGAGGAGAGGGAAAGATGTATAGCAACTTAATTAAATTAAGTTTAGTTTCGTATTAGGACTGTGTTTGAGGTTGTTTTTGTAATTTGTTATTTATTTAGGGTTTAGGAAATTAGTAAGCCATCAATATAAAAGGGTTTGAGGTTGTTAAGTTTGGTTAGATTTTCTTTGTGGCGAAGTGCGGCATGTAGGCCGACTTATGTATTTGTGGTTTTGTTTGGTTAATCAAAATTTGGCAGTACGTGGTTGTTTTAATGGTGTAGTGCGACAAGTGGTTTGATGAAGCGCTGCATTGGTTGTTTTGTTTTCTTCATAATTTAGTTTTGGTTTCTATAAAACCTTGGTTCATAAAATTACAGCTACAATAAGATACTAGAGTACACAATATCTTAGTTACTCAGGAATGTTGCAGCCGGTAAACTCAATACTTATCGCTATGAATAACTGGATATCAACATTTATCCTCCCACTGAGCATCAATTTATCATTATGAATAACTGGACATCAACATTTATCCTCCCACTGAGCATCAATTAACAAATTAACAGAATTTGTAGAAGTTTTCTATGGGAAATTATAGAATCTAACAGAAGTTTAGCTTTGGTTAGAAGTGATCAGATATGCATACCAAAGAAAGAGAGAGTGTGATGACTCTAAGTTTTTGACGTATTTACCCTTAGATAATAGTTTAACCGTTTATTATTATCAGTGTTTACCGTTTGATAATAGTTTAGCCGTCTACCATTATAAGTAGTAGTCCATGTCCATTTCTGTCTATTAGATTGGTGAACCAAAATTGGCTTAGTCATATATCATATTTTAAAAACCCAAGACCCATTCTATTTTAAAATTATCCATTAACCAAACCGACTCAAATTGGAGAGGCAAATTTTCTTCTAAAACATTCCTAGTATTTCTACTATCCTCACCCTCTCACCTCCCGACCGCCCACTCACTGACTTCCCACGTTTTTATTTTCCAACTCTCTCACCCTGCCCTTCTCCTCACTTGTACGCACCACCATCTTCACTACTTCTATCCATTTAAATCAGTAATTAATTAAACCAGGGAGGAAAGGAAGCTGGGGATTATTTTTTTTTTTAACTAAAGAAAAAGTGGAAGTGACGACCTTGAAGAAAAAAAAAAAAAGAGGGAAAGAGAAGAACAAAGGTAACTGGGACTTAGCTCTTAATTCATGTAACTGTTTTTTGATTCGTGTTGCTTGGTAGAATTTTGGTTTGGGATACTTGGAGTTAGTGTTTAAAATTATTGAATTGAATGGTTAGCTACCGTTGGGTCGATTTCGGTTCGGCGGGTAGCTTGTTAGTTCGATTTTGCTGTCTATTGCTTTTGATTCTGATTTTGTCATTTTCTGTTGACCTTAATGGAATAAAAATGCGTGGAAATCCAAGCTTATGGCCTGAATATGGAAGGAAAAGAACAAAGAGTGCATGTCATCCTTAATGTGTTGTTTTTCATTAAAATGATTGATTTGCATGTCAAGGGTATTAAGGTTGGTTGTTGTTAATCATAATAGAAATGATTAATCTAGGAATAAAAGAGCTATGGCCGAAAGATTTGAACATATGAAGGGGAATTGCTACTTTTGATTGTTGTGCATGTTTAAAATATAAAAATATCAATCTCATTGACTATTGATGTTGTTGTAAGTCTTGCTAACTTGATTTCAGAGTTAGTCTAAAAAGTAAAAATGATGGCAGGGATGATGTTACTGTTTTTGTTGTTGTGATTGAGTGCATGAATGGGGAAACATGGGAAGGGGTATAGAGAAGCATGCCATATAAAAAAGTTCTTAGTTCCTGAGTTGTCTGCAAGTTTAGTTGCTGGAAAATGTTACAGAATGGGGAAAATGAATGATGAAAGGATGTGAAAGTCATGGTTTGCTTTAGAAACGATTGCACATGGTTCAAATAAGACATGTTTAGGTGGTGCCTGGTTCAAGCTAGGTATGATAGTTTGGAATGGGATTGATAAACTTTGAAATAAGATTTATAAAATAGGAATGATTAATGGGTGTCAAAGCTCCAAATCATGTGCCCGGTTCACATTATATAGAAAATAAAATTAACATGAAATTCCAATTTAAACCTTGCTACCAACCCCATAACCACCACCACCGTTGCCTCTGTTTCCCCCTTCCCCAACATATCATCGCTGCAACTGGACTACTAGAGAAACAATCAACCCAAAGATAAAAATCAACCTTCACCCAAATCTAAAAGGAGCCAAATTTGAGGGGGGGGGGAGGAAATCAAACATCAAAGATATGTAACCCAAATTCAAATTTATTTCAATCCGTATAATTTAATTAAAAGTATTAAACCTGATAAACAAAGCCTATCATTTTAACTAAATTGGTGAAAAACTTCAACACGACCATGGCCGCCATTTATGCGCCCCTTTTTTGCCATCGTTGACTAATTATGATTTTATTTTCTTAAACAAATATTTAGTCACATACACCCATCCAAAAATAGAGTTTAGATTGGAGGGTGAGAAGTTACAGGGATGAAGATTTAAATGGGTTTCAAATTTCGGAGATGGGGTGATGAAAATATGCAGGATTGAAGTTCAAATTGGAGAGGGAGGGAAGTGTTCGAATCGGAAAGAATGGTGGAAGCCAGTGATGGTGGAAAGTGCGAGTGGAAAATTTACTTATATATGTCTCAAAAAAATTATAAAGAACAAAATAGATCTAGGGTTTTAATTGTGGACAAAAATGATTCTTTCGCGCTTCAAACACGCGAAAATAAGAAAAATCGCGTTTTGAAAACGCTAAAAAAATAATTTCGCATTTTGAAAACGATAAAACTCAATTTTCGCATTTCAGAAACGCTAAAAATAATAAATCGTAATTAATTAATTGTAAAAAATTGATTAAATAAAGATTCGCGTTTTCGAAGCGTGAAAAAAATAAAAAAGAATATTTTATTTAAATAAAAAAAGGAAATAGTCATAAAAATTTGATTAATTTGCCTAGTTTAAAAAGTTATAGGGAAATTTACTTCAAAAAATTATTAAATTTGAATAATGAAATTAAAGGAAAATTTTAAAATTATAATTGAGAGTCATTAAATTTTGAATAGAGCTATAAAGAGGAAAATTATATTGATAATTTTAGTAATAGGAAAATTAAATTTTGAATAAGAATATAATATTATAATTGATACTCATTAAATTAAATAGAGCTATACTAAATATAAATTATTAAAAGTATGAAATAATTATTATAATGTATTAAAATTTTAAAATATTATATAAAAAATTGAATAATGATTATATTAAAAAATTATATAAAAAATGTAATCATTATTTTATAAATTAATTTTATATGAAAAATTTTCAATAATGATAAATGACGTAATTTTATGGATTTAATTAGATGTAATTTAATTTACAAATTGTTTTTATTAATTATGACGGTTTCAATATAAGAAAAAAGCTTAAAATATGAATAAATTTTATTAAATATTTATTATAATTTACCGACGCTTAAGATGAAGCAACTATTATCTCTTCTTCGGAAACCTCACAGGGGAGACAGCAAAAATGTCGAAGCGAGGACGCGGAGGATCGGCGGGTAACAAGTTCAGGATGTCTCTGGGTCTTCCAGTGATTGCGACGGTGAATTGCACCGACAACACCGGGGTAAAGAACCTTTACATCATTTCAGTGAAGGGAATGAAGGGTAGGCTCAACCGTCTCCCTTCTGATTGCGTCGGTGACATGGTTATGGCCACCGTCAAGAAGGGTAAGCCCGATCTCAGTCAGGAAGAAGGTCATGCCCGCAGTCATTGTCCGCCAGCGCAAGCAATGGCTCCGAAAGGACGGTGTCTACATGTACTTTGAAGATAATACTGGAGTGATTGTTAATCCCAAGGGAAAAATGAAAGGTTCTGCAATCAGTGGTCCCATTGGAAAGGAATGTGATGATCTTTGGCCTAGGGTTGCAAGTGCTGTCAATGCGATTGTTTAATGCACCGCATTTTAATTTTGAAGAGAACTTTAGTTTACTGAATGTTTATTTTAGGTATCTGGTACTATTCTTTTGTGGATGTGGTAATTTTAATAGACGGTTGGTATGTAAGAGCTAAGAATTACATCTTTTGTTTGGATAAACTAAATACTTTGTTGTTTGTTTTTTTTTAAAAAAAAGATGAAGCAACTATTAAGTATTAAAAAAATATAAGAAAGTTTGAAGATGTATTTAGATTTGATCGGCGAAGATGTGTTTGATAAATATTAATAAAGTAGCAACGATGCAGGTGAAATCAAACTATTAAGAATATTAATACAAGTCATAACAAAATACTACAAGTCATAACAAAAGGGAAAAAAATAAAACAAGTCATAACAAAAAGAAAAAAAACATAAATGAACAAAAGGAAAAAAAAAATACAAGTCTAATAATACTACATAAAAAGTCTAGTACCCTACTTCTTGGACTTTTTAGCCCGAAAATGGCTATAAGTCAATCTATCGGGCTCCTTCGTCACTCTCTGGCCTTTTACTCATACCCAACGGTGGAGTCCCTAGAGTCTGACTCGATCCCTGCTCCTCATGGCGCTGATAACCCTGACCCTCAAACTGATCATCCTGGCCTGCATCCTCAGCCTCATCTTCACCCTGAAGCTCACCTCCAGCTGGGTCATCAGCCTGATGCTGACCCGCAACACCCTCGAACATACTCGAAAGAAAGTTACTCGTGTAATGTATCGACTGGCCATCTAGCGAACTCTACTGGAACCCAGAAAAGTCAATAAAAGCATCTCCAAACTGAGGCTGAGAAGTCTGAGGGGAGGAAAACTGAGTGAAGGCAAAATGGGACTGCTGGTGCTGGAGAGACATAAGGGGACGATAAAACGCCTGTTGGGTCTGGGAAGAATGATGGAGAGACTGATGTGGAGACTGATGGGATGAATGATGTGGAGAATGTGGAGACTGATGGGATGAATGCTGAGAAGAATGGTGTGGAGACATAAGTGGAGACTGATGGGATAAACCGTCAGTGAAGGGGATATGAGACTGCTGATGCTGGGAGGACTAATGTGGCTGAGTGGGCGTGATTGTCTCTTGCCCACGGATTAATCCACAAAAAAATCGATCCACCGACCGAAAAGACATAAATATCCATTATTTTATACTGGAGTCCAGGTCCTGGACTCTTATACATTAGGGGTATTTTGGTAATTTTGACAAATAATTTTATTTACACAACTAATTTAACGTTTATGAGAATTAAGCCAACTTTGTTTATCATAAAATGAATAAACAAATAACTAGTTTTGTTACCCTAAACCCTAAACCCTAACAACTCACACAAAGTGAATGATCCTTTAGCGTTTATCACACAAACATCCAAACAAACACAGTAACACAAATAAAAACGCAAACAAAATCATCCTCATTGATTTATTACATGAATGTTCAAAATCATCCTCATTTTAAGTACCACAAATCCGCGTTTCTGAAATGCTAATTTTCCTTAACCCACAATTATTTCGTGTTTCAGAAACGCGAATTTTAAATAACTTCAAAAAAATCGGATTTGCTTGACCGAAAAGACATAATATCCAGTCCATTATACTGGAGTCCAAGTCCTGGACTCTTACCAATTAGGGGTAATTTGGTAATTTTGACAACTAATTTTGATTAGACAACTAATTTAGCGTTTATGAGAATTAAGTCAATTTTGTATATCACAAAATGAATAAACAAACAACTAGTTTTGTTACATAAACACAAACCCTAAATCCTAACAACTCACACAAAGTGAATGATCCTTTAGCATTTATCACACAAACATCCAAACCAACACACTAACACCAATACAAACGCAAACAAAATCATCCTCATTGATTTATTACATGAATGTTCAACACAACACCCAAATACAAACACTAACAGAATCATCACTACGAATTCCATATGGATCGTAAAGTCCTAAGATAATTAGTGCTCACTCCGTCCCAAGATAATTAGTGATTTATACGACATGTATATAGTAATCACTAGTACTATATTTTTAATACATAATGACGAAGACCGACATTTTTTTTAAAAAAATATTACTAATATAAATTGAAAATGATTAGTGTTTAAAGTTAATTATACTGGAGTCCAAGTCCTGGACTCCTGCATAAACACAAATTCGCGTTTGAGAAACGCGAATTCTATGTAAGGTAGGAACATTTCGTGTTTTAGAAACGCGAAATATATATAGACGTGATTTAATTCACAAAAATCGGTCGACCGACCGAAAAGACATAAATATCCAGTCCATTATACTGGAGTCCAGGTCCTGGACTCTTACCTATTAGGGGTAATTAGGTAATTTTGACAAATAATTTTATTTAGACAACTAATTTAGCGTTTATGAGAATTAAGCCAACTTTGTTTATCATAAAATGAATAAACAAATAACTAGTTTCGTTACCCTGAACCCTAAACCCTAACAACTCACAAAAAGTGAATGAGCCTTTAGCGTTTATGACACAAACATCCAAACCAACACACTAACACAAATACAAACGCAAACAAGGTCATCCTCATTAGTGCTTTTACATGAATGTTGAAAATAACACCCAAATACAAACACTAACAGAATCATAACTATGAATTTCATATGGATCGTAAAGTCCTAAGATAATTAGTGCTCACGCCGTCCCAAGAAAATTAGTGCTTTATACGACATGTATATAGTAATTATGAGTACTACATTTTTAATACATAATGACGAAGACCGACATTTTTTTTAAAAAAATATTATTAATATAAATTGAAAATGGTTGGTGTTTAATATTTATTATACTGGAGTCCAAGTCCTGGACTCTTGCATAAACACAAATTCGCGTTTGAGAAACGCGAATACTATATAAGACAAACATTTTGCGTTTTAGAAACGCGAAATATATTTAAAACGGCCAAAATTTCGCGTTTCTGAAATGCAAATAGTGTGACAAACACACAATTTGGACACGTGGTTGTTTTAGCATTCTATTGATAAACGCAAAAATAGAGTTTATCACACAAACATCCAAACCAACACACTAACACAAATACAAACGCAAACAGAATCATCCTCTGAGCTTTATTACATGAATGTTCAAAACAACACACAAATACAAACACTAACAGAGTCATCACTATGCATTTTAAGGAAAATCATCACTACGCATCATCAGAATTGATATTAGGCACACCACGAATTCCATATAGATCGTAAAGTTTATCAATAGAGGTCCTGTCAGCAGGTGGACGAGAAAATGGGCATTCCACAGCATCATGATCTAAACTTCCACATCGTGCGCAAACTGTCGCATATGGGCAAGCCCTGGCATTATGGCCCTGTAGTTTACATAAACTGCAAGTTTGGAGTCTTTGCTGGCCAGATTTGCTTGTATAATCTATCACACCTTTTTCCGATTCACACGCTTCCGACCCCAGCCAGCATGGTGGACAAGTTTAGTGTCATCTGGCCTGATGAGCCACGTTACCTTTGGCCATGGTTCCATGATTGGGTTGAATTCTCCAGAAAACTGCTGGTACTATTGCTGCTTAGTGTAACATGGATCAAAAAGTGGGAAGGGGTCGTCACCTAGCTCACGAGCAACTCGAAGTGCATGGGAACAAGGAAATCTGGTACTCTGCCACCTTCCGCAAGTGCACTCTCGATCTGCATAGAGCACAACTTGCTTCTCCTCAGCCTTCCATGGTTGATTATCAGGTGCTATTGTAACCACTTTGTACTTCTGGTTTCTCTTGCTAAACCGGTTGACCTGTTGCCTCAATGATTTCTTCCGGGCCTCTTCATACAGTTTCATGGGTTTAGGAGATAGAACATTCTGACATTTCTGGATCATATCAATGTTTGCCTGAAACAGATTGTTACTTTACTGAAAGGATGCTAGGATCAAAGCTGTGATCGGGAAGAATCTAGCACCTTTCAGCACATTATTGAAACTCTCTGAAATATTAGTGGTCATTTCTCCCCAACGATGCCCTCCATCGTGTAAACAGGTCCATTTCTCAACACCCAGCTTCTGAAGCCAACGAGCTGCCTTGTCATTTTTTTCTTCTAATTTTTGCCACTCTGCCAAATACCTTGTCTTTTGCGTCGCTGAACCAATCATTTGACAGTTGCCTCCCAGTTTCTCCTTTCGAAAATGCCCGACCAAGTTTTCTTTAACATGCTCTAGATAATACCGGTGGACTCCCATCTCTGGAAATTTTTGCAACATGATGTCCATGGCAGTAAAGATACTCTGATTTCGATCAGAGATAATACAGGTCTTCCTATCCTGCAGAACAAACTTTTTCAAATACTTCAAGAACCATTTCCAGCTGTGTATGGTCTCTTCGTCCACAAGAGCAAATGCGATGGGAACAATTGTGCCATTTGCGCACTTCATGCATGCCACAATTAGTTTTCCTTTGTAGGATCCTCGCAGGCGAGTGGCATCGATGGTTATTATTGGCCAGCAAGCATGAAATAACTATATAGATGGCCGAAATGCCCAGAAAACATACCTACATACAAACCTTTGTGAGCTTCCTGAATTTTCCTTAAACTTGAATTGCACACAGGTGTCTGGGTTTGACATGAACAATGCATCAAGGAAGCTGGGCAGTTGTTGAAAATTACTTTCTCATGTACCATACAGAGCCTCAAGTGCTTTTCTTCTACCATGCCATGCCTTCTTGTAGCTACATTCGACTTGGTACCTCTTCAAAACTTCTATTTGAATTTGGGCAACTGCAAAATCTGGATGTTTTCGCACATTTTGGGCAACCAGTCTAGCAATCATAGAAGACGTGACGTTTCGGGACTCGTTTCTCTTGTTTGCCCCAAGACAGTTGTGGGAATCGGACCATACCACCATTTTCCAAGTATCGGTGGCCTTCTGTAGCGAAACTTGCGCCTTCCACAGGCAATCATAGCCGTGAAGACGCTCTTTCGGATATTTCGGCCCACAGGTCTCACATTCGACGTACCATATTCATTTAGAACTCGTTTTCACCCGGAAAGTCCGACCATGTAGCAAGTTCCATTCTCCCACTGCCGCCTGTGCCTCAGGCTTGTTGATGAAATGTACATCAAGGTCAACCGTCAACGGATTGCCGTCCCACATTTTCATCCCATCAGAATCTACTTCCTTTAAATTCTTGTCCCATCCACTGATGTCGTCGAAAATATATGGTACTGAAGAAGATGACTCAAAATCAGTGTCGTCATCTGAGTCGTCATCCGATGGGATGTACTCATCATCACTGCTTTCGACACCCCCTCCATCTTCATCTTCATCTTCATCTTCATCTCCATCTTTATCTTCATCTTCATCTTCATCTCCATCTTCATCTTCATTGTCTTCAACTGTTCTACCACCACTAGTGCTGGCACCAATATCTTGGCCAGATGTACTTGCATAAACATGGCCTATTCTCTCAACATTTTCAGGGTACAATTCCGGCCATTTATCAGCACAAAGATAAATGAACCGAATAGTATTATCATCATTAATGTGCACACAAGACCTTTTTCCTGACCTCTCTGTCCATACCAGAGAAAAATCAATATACAGCCCTTCTCTATCAACTTCCATCACACCACATACCTTATCAACAAGTTCCGAGAAATCTAACATACGATCAATGATAAGATAACCGTCCGGCGCATCCCGTCCCGCTGTACCGTGATAGTCCCATCAGGTTCAGTTGTATAAGTAGTATTCCAGTATACTTTCAGACGAATTGTCTCCATGAAAGACATTTACGGCCTGCAAAATCAATTCCTACGAAATCAGAACACTAGAATACATTTTGAATTTTAGTTTTGTCAAAACAGTATTTATCCCGTTTAAAGATTTAATAATTTCAAAAGAACAACTATACGCCTGAATTTAAAACTTCATTTCTACGCTAAAAATATTTTAAAAACTCACTCTGGGTATTATAAACTTTTTCATAAATCAATATACAATAA